AACAGGCACATATTAAAACAACCAGATTGGTCCCCCGGCAACCACCGGGACCTCCTTACCTGCGTAAGCTTTACTCCTTCCAATGTGCTCCCATCCACTGGTGACATGGACACCTCGTGGAGGTGGCACGCATGCACAAAAAAGTGTCTTATATAGTAGAAGGCATTACCGTAATCGTGACATGACCTTAGAATGATATTAATTGGACCTCAGGTCTTTTGGCGGTTAGCTCCCCTCGCCCTTCTCCATCTTATCCTATTCCCTCTACTGCTCTCCAGCTGCTATTGCAGCATCATGTGGAATGAATGAGACCATGCTCAGTAGGTGTTTATATAGCCGTTGGGGTGTTATCACATTGATAGCACTGCAAAACATTGCCTACCACTTCAATTTGCGGACGGACACACATACATACATACATACATACATACATACATACACATACAGACATACAAACACACACAAAGTTAGCGCTTCATAAAATAGAAGGATAGGCCTTATTTGAATGAAAGAATAGGTCTTATTTGACTATTTTGCCTTTCCTGTTAGCTCCATACTTGTGCTGGGCTTAGCAGGCACCAAACCACAGCACTGTACTGTTATGAACACTTTTGTGCTAGTTAATTTCTATACGTCGTCGCTACTGTTTAACAACGACCTTTTCAGAGAGGTCGCGATTCCCAAAACATGCACTAACCTGGTGGACGTGGCAAGTGTGTGGTGCGTATCACTTCGGAAGCACCGCATTTGCAGCTCTCACAAGGGAAGGATACCAGGTCGAAGTGGCCATTTGTAACGAGACATACACCACTAGATGTGTTTTTGGACGCTGATCTCGAATCTGCTCTCCAAATCTGCGAAACGATTCTCTGAACGTAGTTATGAAGCGAGATAGTGCAGTGGCAGCGGCCCGGGCCGACGAGCAAGAGGTCGTGAGATCGACTTCTTGGCGAGTTTTCAGCTGCTTTTCTTGAAAACATTGTTCAAAGGACTCTTATGCATGCTAAATCATCAGCGACTGCCTATCCTATAAGTGGAAAGAGCTGGCAAAGAGCTTCGAACACTGTGCGCGTCCTGTCCTGTCCGTGTGTGCCCACATTTTCGACTTTAGGTCAAAATTTTGGATTTGGACCAAAAGTTGTCACAAGGGGTACTTTGATGCGCTGAACACGAAAATCACATCTATTTGGCAAGAAAGTGCATGACGCATGCGCTACGGGTGCCAGAGACGGTCACTTGCAAATGACGCGCACAGTGTTCGAAGCACTTCGCCAGCTCTTTCCACTTGTATGATAGGCAATCGCTGATGACTTAGCATGGATAAGAGTTCCTTGAACAATGTTTTCAAGAAAAGCAAAAGTGAGAACTCGCCAAGAAGTCGATCACGACCTCTTGTTCGTCGGCCCGGGCCGCTGCCACTGCACTATCTCGCTTCATAACTACGTTCAGAGAATCGTTTCGCAGATTTGGAGAGCAGATTCGAGATCAGCGTCCAAAAACACATCTAGTGGTGTATGTCTCGTTACAAATGGCCACTTCGACCTGGTATCCTTCCCTTGTCAGAGGTATGGACTAGGCACCTGTTGTTATAGGAAAGCGCTGAAGGGACAAACTTCAATGGTTTGCATAAAGACCCTGAAATAGGGCATTTTAAAAAAAATGAAGTGTGCATAAGAAAGACCTTCTTGAATTCTTCCGGTGACAGATCAGAGAACTGTGTAATTCCGTAAACAGCTGTTCCCTGTTCCTTTTCTTGCACGGCGCGAATCATCTGAAATGTGAAATGGTTTGAGTGATGTACAATCGGGGATAGATTTTGCCATATCCATCCAATCTATCACATCAACTGGTTGACTCGGGCTGGACTTAGCTTTTGTGCATCAGAACTTTGTTTAAGAAAATAGATCTTCAATGCGGGTGCCGGCGTGTCGAAGAGTCATGTGCTGGCGCCTTAGCAGCATCTGCCAAGCTGTCAAGTTTGTTTAGGACGTGAATAAGGCCTGAGTACAGCGATCTACAAGGGAGGTCGTTCAGGGTGTGCCAAGCTTTTTCAAAATGGTTTCTTGCATGACATTGGGGCACATATGGGGACCACAGAAGCATGGTTCATTTTTCCTGAACGGCCCTCTGAATACCAGAAAAGGGGTCCCTAGTTCGATTCCTCGTGGTGACAAATTTTTGCATTTCGAGTTGACGTTTCAAAATTCGCGCAAAATGGAGTTAGCATGAATAATTAGTACCATATTCATGATTAGGACCGTCAGTAACCCTTACAAATAGACTTTGATTGAAAAACTGGTGAAAAAGGTGTGACTAGGGACCCCCTTTTCTGGTATTCAGAGGGCCGTTCAGGAAAAATTAACCATGGTTCTGTGGTTCCCGCATGTGCCCCTATATCATGCAAAAGACCGTTTTGAAAAAGCTTGGCACACCCTGAAAGACCTTCCTTGTGAGATCTCTAGAATGCGCTGCCACTTCTGCTCTTTTACATGTACGTTTCTTGCAGCAGGCAAAGTCTCTAGCCACAGGTGGCCCGCGGTGTAATGTGAAAGTGTACCTCCAGATTCCCTTTGAAAATCCGAAATCGTTTCAGGGCCTCACTTTCGTTCCTGTAGACCTTGCCGTGCCTGAAACCAGTATGTGAAGTGGATCACTCATTCAACACAAGGATTTCCCTGTTCTTGTACTGATCGCTTCTTTTCGCTGCTGCTCGCTGCTACCATCAATTTCAATAGTGCCACCTCTTTGTAAGCCAACCCATTTCTTTGGAAAGAGATTGAGTGGATTGAACCTTTTTTACATGAGCTTACCTTTCAATGAAACTGGTGAATTGGTTCCAAGCTCCCAAGTCATTTGAACTGATGTATCGACTGAGTCTGCTATATTCGATGGAACCTTTGCTGTAAAGAGCAGTTAATAAGTTTGTAAAATGGTTCTGAAGATCGAATGATAAACAATCTCGTTTGACTACTCAGTACGAGCCGTTTTGGTTCAAATCGAAGCTATAATCGGACATGATTAAACACAAGCAATGATTCTATGTAAGACAACGTGTTTTTGTTGCTCTGCTGCTCTCACAAACCAGTATTGAAACGTTGACGACAGTCTAAGGCACTATGCGTCAGGGACGGTAGTAAAGTGCCATAGACTGGGAGTTAAAGGTGGTGAACTACGGCCGTAAACGGTGAATAATGAAAGGCGAGACAGCCAGATGACCCCGCTCTGAATGGCGAGCTTCACTACATTCCTAGCAAAAGTCGCGTCGCCATGGACTTGAACCATGTAATGCAGCGCCCATGAGCGCGACGTTTGCCACTGCACCACAAAGCATTGCTGTGTTACTTTGAAAGAATTGTAGAAAGCAAGGTAGGATCCTATGAGGGTTGCAAAACATCCAGTATCATGGAGAACTGATCCCGCGAGCGATCCAATGTCAACAAGGAACGAACCCACTGCGCCAATCGACGTGTTGGTATCTCTACGATCATGGTCTAGATGATTGTACATGTAGAGAGGTGAAATGCTCCCACCAAGGAAGGAGCTATAACACGATCAATAAGTGGAACACTGCAGGGACAGCTGATCACCTTATTGGCAGAAAGTTATCAATATTATCGATAGCTCCAGTGGCTTTCTTGCTGCCCACACTCAACACCTTCCACGAACCCCTTTCTTCCCTGCGCTCTGCAGGGAAGAAGGGACGCTCAATTGCGACTTAATAGCAGACGCAGATAGACGGTGACTAAAATGTACTCAGGGGTACATATTAGTCGCCCTCTACATGACCCTCTGCGTCTCTGCAATCTCCACGCACTTTCCCCTTTCTTTGCCGAGTTCGCCCTAGCAAGGTGCCACCTAATACTTTCGCCACTTAAGATGTTTGCATTTAGACCTCGGCCCATTGCCGGCAGAGATCAGCCGCCGGAGTTTCCTGTTTCCGTATGCTTTTTAGATTGAGAGGGCGGCCGTAACGCTGATCCTATTTGGCCAACTATAGACTGGTTGTTTAGGAGACTTTACTACCGTTCCAGATATTTGAGGTCGCATCCAACATTCTCACATGCCTGTGCGTCAGCAATTCGCTCCTTTTTTCCGCGCATTTGCACTCTTCCGAAATTTTTTGTTACCATTCGGGCACTACAAAAATATTGTTACAAATTGCAACTAGATTCTCTTTTCATATTACACTATGGTTATGCCTACATATCCCCGCTTGCCGACGTCTTCGCCTGCATAAGAGCCCCACGTCTGGACTATCGCAGCTCAGTTTACGGCTCCAGAAGTTCGTGCTTCTACTCGTCCAATTCCATCAAGAACTGATCATGCCATTCCCTCCCCATTCAAGATCAGGAGACCTCGGAAGGGACGATTGGTTCGTCAAGAGTGGAGCGCTGAAGTTCAAACCCCAAGGGGTGAGCAATAGAGGACGGCTTGTAGTAGTGTTATAAATATTACATTTATTCGCTTGAGCACAACTCACGAACCGCGTGGCTAGCGTAAAGCTGTAAGGGCGATCCTTTACGCGATTTTCGCAATTTTCGCGATTTGCGCGATTTTCGCGATTTCGCGATTTTCGCGATTTGCGCGACGGGTCACGGAAATCACAAGTGCCCCATCAATACTGCAAGGTGTTCTCCAATCCCGCCGTCACTTCTGCTTGATGGTTATGGTTTAATGGAGACTGCTCATGTTTCATATCCAGTGTTTCAATTGTTCAAATGGGGCACTTGCAATTTTTGTGATTGGTTTGGTTTGATTCCTGAAAAAAATAGGAACGATTCAAGAGCATTTCAATGAACTAATAGACATTGAACATGAAAC